GTAGTAGTAGTAGTAGTAGCAGTATAGTAGTAATACTAGTAATGTTATAGTAGTCACAGCGGTTATTCAAGTCACGAGTAAGTCACGGGTAGTCACGGTAGCGATATATAAGTCCCAGCGGTTATTCAAGTCACGGGTAGTCACGGGTAGTCACGGTAGCGCTAGAGCTATATAAGTCCCAGCGGTTTTTCAAGTCACGGGTAAGTCACGGGTAGTCACGGGTAGTCACGGTAGCGCTAGAGTTATATAAGTCCCAGCGGTTATTCAAGTCACGGGTAAGTCACGGATAGTCACGGGTAGTCACGGTAGCGCTAGAGCTATATAAGTCCCAGCGGTTATTCAAGTCACGGGTAAGTCACGGGTAGTCACGGGTAGTCACGGTAGCGCTAGAGTTATATAAGTCCCAGCGGTTATTCAAGTCACGGGTAAGTCACGGGTAGCAGCTGCGGCAGTGATCGTAGAGTAGAGCGGCTGGAACCATGTTGTTTTCACAAACCTTTTTCGAATCCATGCGACAGCAGTCACAGGCCATCACTTAGCCCAGAACGGCACCACTGCAAAGCACCGCCCAAACCGAAGTCCAGCGCTGTGTCTGTCGCATGTGCCAGGATCTGGTCCTGCAGACACAGACGTGCAATCTAAAGGATAGGGTCGCTGGAAGCGTGGATGGATGTGCCTTCATTTGCTGGGGAGATAGATCTCCACTAGCTTTCCAAGCTTGGATTCGCCGCTTCATCCTAGAGCAGTTCGGGATTCACTGCACAATGCAGATATAACACCACAGGAGTTAACATGAAGAGTGTCCCTTGCTTTCTCGTTTCACGACGATGGCTCACCCACCAGCCAGCCAAGACCTGACCAAACCTGTGCGGATGCAGAATCGGCGTTAGTTGCAGTACTGAGCAACAAGCATAATCAGGTAGGTGAGTTGCAGCACTTGCCTCTTTGGGTATTCTTGACTCTTTTTGAGGCCAGGTCCTCCATGGACCTTTTCCAGTCCAACCGCGTTTTTGTACCTCTGGGGCAGGTCAACAAGTATGGTTCATCGCATCCAGAAAATCACTTGCAACCAGGACACCGGATCGTTACACCGTCATCGGTACTGCGTGATCTGCGAGGCGAACCGTTTCGAGCCGCCTCCTTGAAGGTGGACATAAGGTCGTATGTAGAATAAAGCCAAACCGGCTTCTGGGACGGAGCCCCGAAATCACCCAAACAAATGGGATGCCTGAGAAGGGCTGTTCCTTCAAAGCCGTCAGCTTCTCGGTCAAGCAGGAATTGCACCACTGCTTGGATGGATGGGTAGATCTCTAGTTTGCTGCATCTTGGATTTTCCAGCGTAACCCAGCAACCCTTGCACCAGGCCAAAAGCATCAAAGCAGATGTAATCTCTGCCAGTTGTGAGCCTTCACGTATATACTCCTTACTTTCGTCGCCCAAAGGATTGAAACTAGTGCGTTGATGCGTTCCACTGTTGGTCCAGCAAAAGCTGGTGCAGACTGTGGCAAAGTGCGCCAAACCTCCTGGCTCCAGAGCCAGGATGGAAGCAAAGCAGAGAACGATGCCGGGAGGGTGGAGCATATCATGCATTTGAGAACCTGAGTGGCCAAACTACATCAGCAGCAAGAGGATCAGCTGCGTGGCACAGTTGATCATGCGTCTTGAAATTACAGGCAACGATTGAAGTCCATTGCCTTGGCGTTGTATCCCTGGGCAGAGAAGGCCGTAGCTATGGACGCCACACCAGCAAAGAATTCCACACACTGCAAGCAACCTGGGAGGTCCTGCAGAAGGCAATCGGCACACACATGAAAGAAAGATCTACAGACACTCAGCCATCGAGAGCCTGAATGAGCCCATTCTCCATGTTTTGCAGGATGAGTAGGTATAAGGTCATTTCAAGGATGACCTGAGGCAGTACGACTTTCCAATGCAGAAGTATCTATCCGAATCACACGGATGGCAGCTAAGTGATCGACCCATGGAATGCCAAGGTGGAGCAACCCGTGCAGCTCTCGAAGCTGCAGCACATCCAGCTTCTCCAAGAAGCGGGACAGGCTTCCAACGTTGGGCACATACGGCATTGTCCATGCACAGATATCCACACAAGCTGCATTGAGCATAATGAACATTGCGGAAGTGTGCGTCTGTCAACACTGAATTGAAAACGACACACTAACAATGGGTCACTCGGGGGCCGATGGCGCAGCAGCCAGGGAGCCGGAGGCAAGTTCGGCATCTCGACCTGCACAGACGCTGGCTGCAGAACACATGTAAGCACGGACATAGTGGAGCAGTGGAGCAAGCAAAGGACGATTTTGACCGTAGCTCAGAAGTAACGTATCGAAACACCATTGCGATGTCGTCCCGGTTCATATACCGATCTGGAAGGCCGGCTCCAGCACAGGGGCCGCTTGCTCAGTCATCGGATTTCAAGGCAGAGCTCCGGAGACTTTCCAGGCATGTGATTTCGAGACTGCTTCCTCCTCCGTGATTTTCTTATCGTTCAGCTGTTGCATGATTTGCGTGGAGATATCCATGTCCTGGAGTTCCAGGCAAAGCTTGCATATTGGCACGTGAGATGCATGAACCGGCAAAGTTCTGTCCTTTGTCTGAAAGAGCTGCTTTTCTTTGGTACCCTGCAGCGGATGCAACACGGACAGAGATTGAACCAGCCAAGTCCAAGGGGCCTCCGTTCTCCGCATCACGGCCCACTGCACATTCTTGGTACCGTCGTTAGCCGGCCGGGTGTTCTTCTTCAGAGCGTACACCTGACGAGAAGTCATAGCTAGGCTGGTTCAAAGACCGATGCCCCAAATGAATCTCGCCTGCTTCGCTTTGTCCTTCGCTTTTGCCTTGCCCTTTGCAGCGGCCTCCGCTCTTTTTTGAGCCGCCAGCTTCTGCTGATCGGCTTGAGTGACATGAGCAGGAGCATGTTCACGCAAATCGTTCCCAATGTCCTTGGGCGGTGGGGCTGCAGCGGGGATAGAGGAAGCAGATCCATGCAAGGCATGATTGAGCAAGGCGGCAGCCACGTACGGTGGCTCTGGTGTGTATGCCTGCAGCTAATGTGAACCCATGCTTTCACGAAAACACAATCTTAGCACCAGCACAGTATTTCGACAACATGGAAAGCAAGGTTTTAAAGCTAGCCAAAGGCACCTTTTCCCGGGAAACATCCGGGTCGCGGGAGCTGGATTTCGAAGGGGCGCTGGAACTTGCCGCAGAGCCTTCCGTTCTAGCTGAGGAATTAGGGACCTTGATTGGCAGCACCGGTGGCATATGTGAACGATGCAAGCAGACATGTATTAGTAGATGGATCGATGCAATCCTAGCCATGAATTCAACGCCTCAACCATTATGCAGACACTTGCGCGCTATATGCGTACAAGGCACGAAAGCTGCAAGCGGAGTATCGTCGTCCAGGATTTCTATGGTGCCGCTTTGGAGGTTTTGCAGAATCTTCCTCCTGGGCAAGCAAAGTAACAAAAGATGCCAGGGGTTTAAACCAGGCTTGCTTGACATGTTCTTTTCCATGCATATGCTGCCCGCGCCTCTTCTCAGAGATGGCTTCAGCAACACTCCTGGAATCCTCGGCTTTGGCATTTGTCGACTTTTCCACCTGCTTGGACCCAGCAGCACTCGTGGAATCCTCGGCTTTGGCATTTGTCGATTTTTCCACCTGCTTGGCCCCAGCAGCACTCGCGGGATCCTCGGCTTCGGTTTTTACCCGCTTTGCCGCCTGATCGGCCCCGTTTGCAAAGAAGAGCAAAGGCTCTTCTGGCATTTCATCATCATCCGAAGCTTCACGATCCAGCTCATCTGAAGTCGTGCTGGGCATCTCGATGATTTGCAGGACCTTCTTCAGAGTAGGATCGAGGCTATCCTTGCAATGCCAATTCTCCGGATCCTTGCCAGTACGCTTGCACTCGCTGCGGAGCTGCCGCTTGACTTTCTTCAAGCATCCGAGGAGGTGTCGCAGGTCGAAGGCGAGGACTTCTGGGACCGGCACCGGACTCTTGTCTTGCAGAAGCTTCTGCAAGAGCTTCCAAAGGGAGTCGGTGGCAAATGCAGCAAGAGGGTGGAATACCACCAACGGTTCAAGCAACCAAAGGAATTCCTGCAAATACTCTTTCGAAACAGCCCGGCCGGTACAATGCCCAAAGACATCTGCGACCTTGCCGTGTTGAATGCTCAGCTGCACTGTGTATGGCATATTCATACTCTTCGACAATTCGTCCATTTCCTCATCGGACAGGCACCGCTCTTTCGGTCGCACCATCTGCGTTGTTATTTACCGTCGTTGCAGCTGCTTATAACTCGAAGATGCGTACGGCAGTTTATCTGCACCTCGCAATGACCTCATGCCATATCCGATGCAACAATATGCGGACATGAACAAATCTAGCCCTGCATCGTTTGAGCACTGGGGGCTGCGCATCAGCAGCAAAGCACCCCAAGCCACCAAGCGACAAAGCTTCTGCACAAACTCGTCAGCTGCATTGCACTGCTCTGGCTAAGGGCTTGCGGGCCGGCCTGCAGTCAGTCGTCTTTTGCGGCTCATGACTTCGATCACCTGGCAACAGATAACAACATAGTGCTGAAACGTCAATGCGCATGCAGCCATCAGAGTTGCACATTCAGCCAACAGCATCGTCAACAAGATCTCAGCGCAAGGCCGCAACATTAACCAAGAGCAGGGCACGCAACAGTTGATGTTTTGGATCGAGCCTGATTTCTTCGAATCGCAGCCGCACCGAGTAGCTGCGATTGTAGCACACTGAAAGTCTTTGTTCAAGGCAAAAGAGTCCAACGATGATGGGAGGCCAACTTTAAAAGACCCTGATGTTATGCGAACCCTACTCCCTACTAAACCCCATATCCCTTTGAAAGTGGCCTACCATGAAACAACCGTCCCTTTTGGAGGTTTGTTGTTAGACTGTACACGGAAGTTTCCAGCAGGAATCTTTCAATTTCCTCTCGGGCAACATATTAGATCACTATACGGCCACGTATTTACGCTCGGCTCCCTGCAGTGGGGCCGTTTGCTGCAGTATCCTACATGGCTCTCCTTCGGCTCCCGCATGGGGCCGCTTTCTTCCAACCTTTTCATAATCTGTCCTCTGCTTCTTCGTGGTGTACTTGGCACACCTAAGAGGTACGAAGACTCGCTTCATCCCAAGCTTGTCATACTGCGCGCCCAATTCCTCATCCTCCAGTATCGTAGGGAGCATCGTCCACCACGTGTCCCGGACACGCGTCCACCCTACACGGAAAACCATTGACCAATCCTCGGACCAGTGTCTTCCCACGGATCCATCACGATTGCACTTCAGGAGCTTGAGTCGCCCGTCCATGCCCAGGCCTGGCTGAGTGGATGAACTTGGTCAGTGAGGTGCCGCACACAGCTTGAGCCCAAGCTGTTGCATGTTTCATCATAAGTGCAAGCAACCGAATCCAAGTGACTTTGAAGGATCCCGACCAACCGACCAAGCAAGGACTTCAAGGATCCCAACCAATCGACCAAGCAAGGACTTCAAGGATCCCGACCAACCGACCAAGCAAGGACTTCAAGGATCCCGACCAACCGACTAAGCGAAGTCAACAAAAGGCACTACTGAGATCCTGGCTCCAATTTCAAAGCCGCCGGATCCTTTCTCCATGCAGGCAGCAACAACAAGAAGCAAACACGAGCATGCCAGGTTCAAGCGTCAGCAGTTGGCAGCTTTTTTTTTCCAAGTCTGCGCTAGGCCGAACGCTCCTGACATCTCATCTACATCACTTATTCAACCTGTTCCTTTTACTCGGCGGCGATCGGGCCGCCGAGGGCGAGGTCGCCATGGCCATGGGGGTCCTCGGCTGTCGTCGTTGTAGTAGTAGTAGTAGAAGTAGCAGTAGCAGTGGCACAGTATATTTGTTCCAAGCGACCCACCGGTGCCATCCGTGGCCGGGGTCCTCGGCTGTAGTAGTAGTAGTAGTAGTAGTAGTAGTAGTAGTAGTTGTTGTAGTAGTAGTAGCAGCAGCAGTAGTAGTAGTAGTGAGTATATTTTTGTTCCCAGCGACTGCGTGGCGCCCGGCTGCGACGTCGGCGAGGTTTGCCTTGGCTGGTTTTCGGGCTTTGGGGTTAGGGGGTTTCGAGCTTGGTTTTGGACAAGCGGGATGCCCTGTGCCGACGGAGGATACGGCAAGCCGACGTGCTGCATCCTCGGTTTAAGGTTCAAGGGTTTAGTATTTAGCTGGGGTGATACGGAATTTACACGCCAAGCGGCTGCGTGCGCAACCATGGGGGCGTCCCCGGCGGCGTCAAGGTTAGGGCCCTTGGCTGCATGATGGAAGAGCTGGGGTGATACGGAATTTACACGCCAAGCGGCTGCGTGCGCAACCATGGGGGCGTCCCCGGCGGCGTCAAGGTTAGGGCCCTTGGCTGCATGATGGAAGTTAACGGGTTTAGCTGGGGTGATACGGAATTTACACGCCAAGCGGCTGGAACAATGGGGGCGTCCCCGGCGGCGTCAAGGTCATGGACCTTGGCTGCATGATGGAAGTTAACAGCTATACCCTAAAAAAAAAGCCAAGCTGCTGGAACGGCGGCGTGCCCAGGTCCGACGGGGTTATCGGGATAAACGTCCCATTTGGCGGCGTCCTGGGTTCCGGGCTTTGAGGGTTTAGGGCGAGGGCACGGATCCTGACCAGGAAATGCCAAACGGCGTCACATCGATAACCACCGGCCGCCTTTGCATAGAAAGGGGCGTCCTCGGCTTCACCATAGACAGAGAGAGCCATTGAGTTCAAGAGAGAGAGAGAGAGAGAGAGATCAGGAAAGCGAGTGATAAATTTTGCCAAGAAGCCGAAAGAAAGCTTCGGGCGGTGGTGTCGTTGGCTGGGCCGGACCCCTTAGGGTTGAAGGCCCGGGGCACGTAGAGAGAACGATCGAGACAGAGCCAAGCGACAAGACATCCATCATCGACCAGGGCGGCGTCATGGGCCTTAGGTGGCTTTAACGGTTTTAGGGTTATGGTGTTTTGAGCTAGGTTTTGCCAAGAAGCATGAATGCTTCAGGCGGAGTTTCACCCCCCGGCGCGTAGTGCCACATGATCGATGATGGAGTATTTGAACTGGCGAGGAAGTATGGGGACAGAAAGAGGCTATGCATGAAGTTCGCTAATTTCGCGGAGGCACGGCGCCATGACTCCGAAGCCCACGGAACCCCGGGAGGATGGTGTCCTTAAGGGTGTCCTTAGTGTCGGGCATTAACGCTTGGTTAAGGCGTGCAATATCAAGAACTTCGCCAAAGCACTGCCCATTGCCATGTCCCGATGAACCCATGGAGGATGTTGTCCTGGGCGGGTGATCGCATTATGGCTGAAGGGTTTACGCTCGCAATTTTCGCAAAGGCACTGCCCAGTGCCATAGGCTCCTCGTCCACCCCTTGCCATGCCCAGCGTCCTTGGGTTCGGCAAGTATGGTTATAAGGGGTTTCAAGTTAATTTAATTTCGCAGAGGCACGGCACCATGACTCCGGGGCCCACGGAACCCAGGGAGGATGTTGTCCTTAGTGTCGGGCATTAACGCTTGGTTAAGGCGTGCAATATCAAGAACTTCGCCAAAGCACTGCCCGTTGCCTTGTCCCGAGGAACCCATGGAGGATGGTGTCCTGGGCGGGTGATCGCATTATGGCTGAAGGGTTTACACTCGCAATTTTCGCAAAGGCACTGCCCAGTGCCAAAAAATCCTCCTCCACCCTCTGCTGCCATGCCCAGCGTCCTTGGGTTCGGCAAGTATGGTTATAAGGGGTTTCAGGTTAATTTAATTTCGCAAAGGCATCGGCCGTGGCCGACCTTAATCCATCTTCCATTTTGCATCTGCCAAACCTGAGAGCACTCGGTTTAGGGTTTGAGGGTTTGAGGGTTTAGGGTTTTTCGGAAATATATAAGGGCATTGGGTTTTGGGTTTAGGCAAGCCGCGCCCGTCACCGATGGCGGTGTTAACCTGGGCTTGTTAACGTTTGAGGAACATCAGGGTGCAACGAAAGTTCCCTAGATGCTCCTGCACGAAAAGGAGGGGCCTAGCCTAAGCGTTATAAATTTCGCGGAGGCACGGCACCAGGAAGCCAATCGAACCCATCGAGTTCGAAGAGCCGCCGGATCGCGACGCCGTCAGCGCTCCATCAGGCGCAGGCGCGGGAGGTGCAGTGCCTTGCCTGCACCTCCGGTTTTGAATCGGAAGCATTGCCTGAGAAAAGTTGTGATGCTGCTAGCTGCTCACGCCCATGTTGCAATCTTCTGCTGCCGCTGGAAAACTGCAGCAAGAGCTCCATGCGCACAAAAACCGTCCAATGTTGAGGACCTGAACCCCAAAGGAGCAGGAGCAAACGGCCAAAACCCGCAAAAGCCCGGTCAAACCCCGGACCCCGACCCCAAGCAATGGCGATCTCCTTGGCGGCACTCCGCTGCGCTTGGCCTCGCTCGAGGTCGTGCGTACCTGCGGCCACCAAAGCCGTACGGATCGCTAATCATTGTGAGTGTACACAGGCCGGGGGCACTCACCCTGAAATGCTCAGCTAAAAGAAGCACATGGCAGAGGCGGCCCACGGCGAGCCAAAATATTATATCAGTGGCTTCGGCGTTAGAATGTATCTGGCCCCTGAATTCCCGGCCGATATAGACACGTGACTTCCAGAGACCATGTAGAATGTTGAGGTTTGTGCGGGCTGGATAGGTTGCCCTCTCGCAGGGGATGGTGTCGCTTGGCGACCTCGTTTGATCAAAAACAAGCTTCAGCCATGTAAACACGCTTCGCCTCTGTCCTGTAAGCACAACGGACCTGTTTCTTTAGCGAATGCCGAGGGGTTGGAGCATGCTCACACACTCAACTTGCACTACGGGCAACCTGAACTACGTTGTTGGACTTCCAAAAGTTGAAGCACCGGGCGAGCAGCACCCGATCCTCCAAAACTGACAGACGCTCCATGATTGAGTCCAAAAGCCAATTAGTGCGCAAGGAGATCCTGTTGATTTGAAGCTGCATGCTGTGCGCATGCCTACCCACCACACTCAGTGTGTCGGTACTCCAGGAATGATCACTGACCACCTCACCAGTCAGCTCTGGGACCGCCGCGGATTGTTCGCCCATCTTGAGGCCTAGAGTAGAATGCTCCAGGAATTAAGCCACATCTGACTTATTCTCCCACGCTCTGAGATACGCACGGGTGGGATTTAGCGAGGCAGAGTGCCTACGGCCTTCAACGCTCTTCGCAGCTGCGGCATATTGCGGGACTTCTGTACAGACTCGACAGACCTACGGCTTCAAATGATCTATATACAGCTTCGCACAACCAACAAGCCAGGCCAATCAAAGCAACTAGGCACCCGATCGACCAAACGAACAAGCACGCCAAGCCATGAGTCGCAACCAAGCATGCAAGCACAACAACCGACCAAGTGAACAAGCACAGCAAGCCTTCAAGCAATCAACCAACCGACCGACCGACTGAAAACAAGCAGTTAATTAGCTGTACACTCGTGCACGCGCAAAACGTACACGCTGCAACACTCAACCGACCCAAGCCAAGCACTCGCAACACAAGGCTTCGGAGGCTCTCGGTGCTAAGGCTCTCGGTGCTAGGGCTCTCGGTGCTTAAGGCTCTCGGTGCTAAGGCTCTCGGTGCTCAAGGCTCTCGGTGCCAAGGCTCTCGGTGCCAAGGCTCTCGGTGCTAAGGCTTTCGGTGCTAAGGCTCTCGGTGCTAAGGCTCTCGGTGCTTGGGAGGCTCTCGGTGCTAGGGCTCTCGGTGCTTAAGGCTCTCGGTGCCAAGGCTCTCGGTGCTAGGGCTTTCGGTGCTAAGGCTTTCGGTGCTAAAGCTCTCGGTGCTAAGGCTCTCGGTGCTTGGGAGGCTCTCGGTGCTTCCGGGCTTCAGCTTCCGCAGTCTACGATGGGGTCCCGCGGTTATTCTGGCAGGCGGCGCTCAATGCTGCCAAACCTGCCCTGGCTTTCGGAGCTCGGCTCGGCTATATATAGGGCTTCTCGATCAGTTACTCCCAGCGTATACTGTCCCAGCGGTTAATCCCAGTTAATCCCAGCGGTTATTTCTCCCAGCGGTTAATCCCAGCGGTTAATTGCCCCAGCGGTTAATCCCAGCGGTTATTTCTCCCAGCGGTTAATCCCAGCGGTTATTTCTCCCAGCGGTTAATCCCAGCGGTTAATTGCCCCAGCGGTTAATCCCAGCGGTTAATTCAAAATCCCAGCGGTTAATTCCACATCCCAGCGGTTATTTGATATCCCAGCGGTTAATTTAGCATCCCAGCGGTTAGTACCACGTCCCAGCGGTTAATTAACCGACGTAACGCGTTGCAAAATGTCC